TCCCGCACCCGTCGGATTCGCCCGTGCCCACAGTCCGTCGTGGCCCACGTCAATCCCGCGCGTTCGGCACCAGCCCGTCGGGTCGCCCAACTCCTACTCTACTCACCTCTTACTTCGCTCGTGTGCCGACCCTTCCTGATCGCGCAGCCCCAAGCTTCCAACAACGGGTTAAGAGAGATGACTAATCGCGCAGCCGAAATTTATAGCGTGCATGCATGCGCGAAGAACACGGAATTACCAGGATTTAGAGTGGGGATTAGAGAGGGAGCGCCTGCGTTCAGCATGATCGGCCGCGGCGTGGGGGACGTAACCCGTCTCCACGCATCGATCCGAGCATGCAAGCCGCGGCTTACAAAAATTTCAGCAAAGGAAAGAGAGGGAGGGCGGGAGAGACAAACTGCAAGAAGAAAGATACAGTTACACTGGCGCTCACCCAAAATTACAGTTACACACACGATTAAGGGCGCCCACTAATCAGAGTACCGTTGCAGCCGCATGAAGAAGCGCGTAGACAAAAGGCGTCGCGCGGCAAGGAAACTCCTAATTCCTGAATTCCTAATTCCTATCTAATGCGGAAAAGCAAAAAGCACGAATTCCAGAAAGAAAGTCATAAATTCCGAGAGTCATCGGGGCTCGACAAAATTTGAAAAAAACTCAAAAGAAAATTCAAAAGAACAACGCAATTTCCCGCGCAATGTCCGTGCCCAAAAGATCGAAACCGAAACGAAAGAAACGACGTCAACATTTATTATCGCGCGGGTGGTGGTGCGCCAGACATCCATCCGACCAATCAATCAACCGGCCGTCCCAAGGACACACCCAGCTCCGAGACCAGCCATTCAAAAAAGAGGCGACGAAAAAGGACGAAAAAGGACGAAAAAGCGAGGACACTGATGCAATTCTCCATCGGTCCCGATTTCCCGTAATTGGCCCAATTTTCCCAGCTTAGGACCCCTCGTTGCAACCGCGCAGAAAATCGCGAGTTGCAGAAAGTGGCTCGTCACATATGTAACGCCCAGGGGGTTCCAATAGCGGAGCACCTCAGTCTATGCCACTTACCGTTCAATCGCGTGTGGACGTCATCCACGTGGCAACATTGCTCTTCTACTAGTTTCTCAGATTGGGTTCTCGTCGATCCAAGGGCGGGATCCTTCTCGTGCCGTCGCCGCGACACGCGCCCATTACCGCTGCATCAGTAATTAACCGGAAGGGGGAAGGGAAGGCGATACGCGTATGAGGGAGGGCGGGGCGGCTCCATCGTAAGCTCAAGTATGAAGCGCCCAATCTCGGTAAGGTCGTAGGGAAGATCTTGAAAACGGACAACGCGATGGAAACGGGGGAACCGCTGGCAGCTGAGGGGAAGGGAAGCAAGGTAGTCTGGGTAAAGGGAGACGAGGGTTCGGAGGACGTCCGTGCGGAACCGATCATGGTCCTCGCACGCGGGAAAGGTCCCCGTGACGATGCAGTAAACCTCTACGTGGTTACGGCCTCGCCACGCGGCGCTAAGGAGTAAAACGTGGAGGGGGCAGTCGGGAACGGCGCACCGAGCGGAAGGGTGGGGGTGGATAGTCAACTCTAGGCGGGCGGAGTAGAAATGTCGGAAGGTGGCGATGGGGAAGGGATTACGGGGGAAGACGACGCGATGGAAATACTGATTGAAAGAGAGATAGCTAAGGGGACGGTGGTATATGGATCGGGGACGAAGGGCGAAGCCCCTCATCGACACGTTGACGAATTGGGGGACGGGCGGAGGCGGAGGGGGACGGGCGAAGGCGGAGGGGGACGGGCGGAGGCGGAGGGGGACGGGGATCGGGATCGGGGTCGGCGCCTTGTCGTCACGGCCCTCGAGGTTGTGGCAGCAAGGTCCCCATGTTCCGGCTTGGGCGGCTCGGGATCCTTGGAAGGATCGTTCGATGCGGAGTCGATCGCCGACCGCTTTCCCTCCGCGACCTCTTTCTTGCGCTGCGCGGCAGCCTCAGGGTCCTCCTCTCGTCGATCCGGTCCTCTTCCGAAGTCTCCTCCTCTGCTTCCTCTTTTTCTTCTTCTTCTTCAGCTTCCGCCGACTCTTCTTCTGCTTCGCGTTCTTCCTCCTCGTCCTCAGCCAACCGGGCCGCTGCTTCTCCGGCCTCTCTCCTCAATTCTCCTTCTGATTCTTCTTCTGCCTCCTCTTTTGCTCTTAGCGCCGCCCACTTGAACGCCGTTGGTTGCCGAAAGAAGCGGGGATTAGTTAGGCTGTGGACGTCCAGGTACTCGCTGCGAGAGGGAAAACGGTCGTCCGCCCAGCGCTCCTCGATACAAGCCGACCACTGGAGGCTCGGGGCGAGAGTCCTTGAGAGGGTATGTGGCAAGGGCTCTTCGTCACTCTGAGAGCCGATATCGAGGGGGAGTTCGTCGGCCTGTCGCGCGATCACGATCGTAAGTTCGCGCACGATCTGTGATCGGTTTCCCCGATCCACTGCTCCAAAGACGAATCCCAGAAGGTCTCCCGCCACGTTGGTCTTCCACGCCTGAATGACGAGCAGCTCCACGGTCTCTGACGCGGGCCTCCGATCGCCTTCCCACGTCCAGTTCAGATCCACTCGTAGCAGGCAGAACGAGAGTTCAACGAACTCTGCATGCCACAGCCTCCAACGATCCAGATCAACGATAGGTACTGTCAGCGACTCCAGGTGGAAGGAGAGACGAGGGTAGTGAGAGGACTGCCAGAAGATGGGGAAGAGAGAGGGAGGAGAAAACGTCGAGATCGGCGCGCGGCCTATCTGTGCGGCTGGAAGGGAGCAAGTTCTGGGAGGACGACAGGCGGCTCGCGCAGCGTTGCGCGCAGCGTGTTGACCTCGATGTCGTCGACAGGATAACACTCGTCATCGTGCCTTGTGAGCCGTCGATCCCAATCAGTGGCCAGATCACGACCCCACTGGTACAAGGTGCTTTTGATGGCGGTTTGCCGCGCCGAATCGAAGGCGGTGATATCGCCGCTGAAGACTACCACGGTAGACACGTGGCTAATTCCTGGGGCCACTCGCCATTGGAACGTCGTTGCCTCGGCCAGCACCACCACCTGGGGATTGCTCGTGAACCGGAACTCTGTTGCGCCGTACACGCCCGCAGTGCAGAAAAACTGCGCAAGGCGCATGAAGTCAGGGCTGATCCGCGGATGATGCACTTGGCGGATGGCTGAGATCTCTCCCCGTGGCATCAGCAACTGATTACTGAAAGCTCGCTCGATGGCGAAGCTCATGGCGATGGCGGGGGTGACGGGGTGGCAGAGAGGGAGCAAGAAGGAGAGGGAGATGGCGGAGAGTCAGAGCCGTCGTCGTCGGCTTCCTCTGAAAGAGAGACCGAGGGAGAAGGAGACGGAGCAAAGGGGAGGAGGCGAAGATAGGACACGTGGTGTGTGATCGGGCGGGCCGATCGACCGCCAGAGACCTCGGGGGCGAGACGCACGGTGTCCACGCCGTTAGGGCCAAGTTCGATCACGCGATATCGCCCGAAGAATCGTGGCGCTAGCTTATCCTAGCGAGCACATTTCCTTACCTGCAACACGTCCCCCAATTTGTACTGGGGCCGCGGACCCGCATTCCCATTTCGGGCCTCATAGCTTCGGACCTGTCGGCCTTGGGCTAGTTCGGTCATTTTCTGTCGTTTTCGGGCTAGCCTGGGCAGTGACCGTTCCATTAGCTCTAGGTGCCGTTTGGCCTTGTCCTTAGTCGTGGCCCTAGTGGGCCGTCGGTTCAATGCAGACTCATCTGGGAGGCTTGGTAGCGAAACGCAAGCGACGCTATTGGTCCTTAATTGGAAGGGGCTAACCCCGTTGATTCGTGGGGCGTTCCGCGATGGACCGCCAGGATGTGATCGACGATATCGGGCCAGGGCCTTGGATCCCGTGCCGCGATATTTCGTCGCAAGGCTGTCTTTATCACCCGATTAGCGTTTTCGACCAGCCCATTGGATTGTGACATGTGGGGTGCAGTGTTCCGTATGGCGACGCCATGTATGACCAGATTCTTTAACACTTCTCCCCTGAATTCAGCCTCATTGTCGGTCAGGATCTCTTCCGTATCCTGATGCATCCCGAGGAAACGGTTCACATATCGTGCGATCTCCGTGGCTTGCCGCGTGCGACAAGGATACGCTTCGATCCATGTCGAGAAATGGTCGACAAATACCAATAAGACTGAATATTCGCAACTATTAGGGCCAGGGGGCACTACTACGTCGGTAGTGTCCATGCTCACTCTTTGAAATGGTCGTTCAACAACCGTGGGCACTATCGATCTTGGTGGCTGAATTGACGCTTTATGAGCGGCGCAGACTTGACAGTTGGCGACAATGTATTTCACATCGTCGCGGATATTGGACCAATACCACTCATTTTTGTCGATGGCGGACTCCGTGATTCGTACTGAAAAATGGGCCGCAGTTTCCTCGTGGGCTGTCTTAACCCAGTTGTACGGCATGAACGGATGTGGTACCACCATCCAAATCCCACTGTCGTCCGTTTTTTGTTTTTCTAATCTACCTTCTATCCATCGATAATCCCGAGCCCTTTCGTTGGCCCTCCTCCGATCTTCCTTGGTGAAATCCTGGAGGGGGTTACCTACTAGGGTGGCAATTATGGCAATATCAGTCCATACTTCGGCCCTTCTAAACTTCCGGGTCTTTTCCAACCCTTCTGACGTGGCATTCAAAAAGCGAGCCTCGGTCGGAATCTTGTCGGTCCGGCACAAGGGGCACAACCACGGTTTACTATCATTTTTGTATTGGATGCACGAGCCATGGGCTCGTGCGACACACTGTCGGCAATTTATCCAATCCGCATACCCTTCCCCGTTAGGACGCATGGAGACCGAATATACGTGGGAGATAGCTTCGCTAAAATAGCAAAATTTGTCAGGCAGGGAGAGGAGAGACGAAGAGGAAGGGGGAGAGAGAGGGGTAGTAGGGTTATCTCCATCACCCATCGCCACCGTTTTACTTTTTGCCACGTGGAAGAACTGCCACTTGTCCGTATTTCGGCTCGTTGGTCAAGTCCGGCTCTTTCCACGGTGTAATTTATTCGCCCTTTGGTACCTTGGCAGGCCGATGCAGACGTGTCAGTCCGTTCGCGTTGCCGTGTCGCTCTGTCTTTCGATGGACGATATCGAAGTCGTACTCTTGCAGTCGCACCGCCCAACGACCAATCATGCCCGTGTAGTTGGTGAGCTTTTTCAAAGCTAGCAGAGGCTCGTGATCCGTCACGATGCGAAACTTTTGTCCGTAGAGATACGGATGGAAGTGTTGGATTCCCCAAACTACCGCATAGCATTCGCCCTGAGGTGCGGAGTCGTTTCGGCGTTCGTCTGGCACTGTGCGTGACGTGTACTCGATGACGTGTTCGCGACCATCGTTCCCCTTCTGCGCTAGAATAGAGGAAATAGCTTCCGGTTGCCAGTCTGTGATGAGAATGAACTACTTCGAGGGGTCCGTCCGAATCAAAATAGGGGTCGTCGCCAGAGCGTCCTTGAGGGTTGCAAAGGCCTGCCGGCACTCCACGTCCCAGCTGAGAGGCTGGTCCTTCCGTAACAGATTCGTTAGTGGTCGTGCAATCGCGGCAAAACCCTTGATGAAGCGCCGGTAGTACGACGTCAGCCCCAAGAAGGCTCGAACATGCGTCAGTGACGTGGGAACCGGGGCTTCTTTCACCGCCGCAACTTTTCTCGATTCCGGCCGCAATCCTCCACGTGTCACGACGTAGCCCAAGAACGAAATTTCCGAGAGGAAAAATTCGTTCTTCTCGAGCGCAATCTTGAACCCAGCGTCTCTCAACGCGCCCAATGTCCATTCGATATGTTTCCGAATAGACCAGGATATCGTCCATGTACACGATTACGCAGAAGTTAATCATCCCTTGCGTCAGCCGTGTCTTGTTGACGAACTTCTGGAACGTCATGTTCGTCGCTCGCTGAAACGTGGCAGGCGCATTGCAAATCCCCATCGGACACCGAACCCACTGCCACGTGCCCTCAAATAGTACAAAGGCCGTCTTCGACCGATCTTCTTCCCTTTCCAGAATATGATGGAAGCCATGCCGAATATCAAACTTGCTGAAATAATTAACGCATTCAATCACATCCAACAAATCATCAATCCGGGGGAGGGAATACACATCTTTGATCGTGATTTCATTCAGCTTGCGATAATCAATGCAAATGCGAATCGCCCCATTTTTCTTCGGTACTAACACTACGGGAAAGGACCAAGGTCCGGTGGCGGGTTCAATCCAGCCGCTGGCTTCGAACTCCCGAATTCGTTCGAGAGCCTTTTTGCGTTCAATCAGGGAATACTGATAAGGTTTGCAATGAATCGGGGAGTGATTTCCTGTCTGAATTTCATGTTGGATTACTAATGACAAACCAATGTCAGTGTCTGATACACTAATCGCTCCTTGATATTCCGTTAGAATGTCCGCAATTACCCGGTGGATTTCATCTGGCACGTACTGTGGAACGTGTAGTTCGAAAAGTTGGTCCCAGATCCGAACGTCAATCTGTTTCGTGCTCGCCTGTTTTGCCAAGTCGGGTGGAGGCGCCGAGATAAATGAATGGTCCGATCACCAAGAGAACATTGTGGCCATCATCTGGACATCTTCTTTCCGGATTGCCACGTGTCCTTCCGGGGTAATCCCGTCACAAACATCCTGCCATGGCAATTCCTTAGTTGCAATCTTTATCCCCAGTCCGTCTGTTTCTGCTTCGAAACGCCCAGGGGGTTCCAGAGAGCTTGCTTCCGCCCCCAAGCGTAACAATCTCACTTCTTTAGCCGATGTTAATAAGGACTTGGGTAGATCCGTAATGTCACAATAATGCTTCTTGTCGCTATACCGGGCGAGGAGAGGGGTGGTTCCTTCGTACAGAGTTTGAGGGGGTTCCAAAGAATCAACCATCCTCGAAATCTGTACGAGGGGCTCACCCAATATCATTGCCTTGGTTCTTTGAATTTTTCGGCTGGTGAGTTGCATCGTTCTTGCTATCGTCTTGGGCGGCGGGTAGTAAATGCTCAGTCGTGCTAATTTCAAGATCTCCGGATCATCTTCATCACTACTGTCCGCATCATTCGTTGATGACTTTCCCTCTGCAGCTTCATCCCAGGAGATCATGCGGAGAGTCCCTGCCATCATTGGCGAAACCCGCGGAACCGCGTTAATGGTAGTGCGAAGGGTCAATCGCATGGGCACAGTGTAAGGTTTTCCTCCTGTATTTCGGAGGACGATCGATCGTCGTTCGAAGTCCAAGTTTGCTCGGCGTAACGCCACAAGAGCGGGAAGTCCGAAAAGGACGTCGTACGTATTGACATCTAGTACTACGACATCCCCAAGCGCGTGCAGTTTTCCCAATCGGAAAGCGACATTGGTCATCCTTCCCACGGTTTTAATTCTTTCTTCGTCAGCCGAAACGAGCTGATCTTTCTCAGAAAGCATGATCAGGTCATTTTTCCTACCTGCCCTTTCGACCACTCTCACTGAAATAGCCAACACAACTGCTCCCGAATCTATAATTGCGTTGTAAGGAATTCCCCAAATTTCAATATCACATTCTGCGGATTTCCACGGAATTGGTTTAATCCGTAAGAAATGATCGTCTTTCTGAATTAAACCTACCCGTATCGGATCCGGAGTGCCTACTGGGTTTTCTTATGGCGCGGGGCCTTTGGCTTTTGCATTTGGTGTTCGGGCGAGGGCGAATCTCTTTCGGTTTGCTTTGCAATGCTGTAGCATTCGCTCGTTGGCTTGCTCGGAGATCGAGAGTAGGTGACCGATCGAGAGGGGAATCCGATGGTCCAAGGCTCGGATGATGTTTAATACATCGATCTCTCCAGTGATGAAGGTGGGCCCTCCCGACTCCATTTCTCCTAGAGACGGACGCCACCCCGCCACCTCTTTCGGTTCTGGTGCTGGTCTGATTGTTCCAATCATTCCAAGCCCAGGATATCCCAGCGATACGTACTGATCTAGCGGGATTAGCTCGGCGGCCTCTTCCGTGGTGGCCAGGGCACTTCCCCCACCCTCTACTTCTTCCATCAAGGCTCCGACTCGTCCAGGTCCGTTAGCGATGGGAGCCGCAGCCATAGGCGCGACCCCGATTCATTGTTGTGAGGGTCAGTGGGGGCAATCACAGGCTAGATGTCCTGGTTGATGACAGGCATAACATACACTCAGATTGTTCGTAGCTCCCCCGAGAGCGGGGGCCGGGGCTAATCCTTGCTGCATCGGAGGGGCACGCACTGCAATGGGTCGCATATTCCTCATCATGGCCTCCAGCCGAGCATTGTGCTCCCGCTGTTCTTTCTTACTTTCCTGGATTAAATTAATCAACGTTTTGGTTAGTTTGAAAATGGCCGCTGATTCGTTCCATCGTACGGGAGCCTCAATCAGCGGCGG